TGAAAATTTTTACTCATAGGGGAAAACTCCCCCCTTTTTTACATGCTATCATTGAAATGCTGATAATCGTACCTGTTATTATTATTTTTTTATATAAGAATACCCATGTGGCGGCAATATGTGCCTCGGTTTGCTCTTAACCATATAAATGCATTAACAATGTTGAAGCATTAACATTGTATTTTCTTTATGAAAGTCGTTTTAACTACCCGTAAATATATCTACAGTGTGATAGCAGTCTTTGTTGTTTTTTCATGGTGACTACCTACAAATCATGTTAAATGGATCTTGTTTGTATCCTTTTTATTCATCTTTTGGAGGAAGTATTTGTTTGGGTATTGTTTGGAGGTCGGCATCCCTCAATTTGTCACATAGATAATGAAAGCAAAAAGAAGAAATGATGAAGCTTCTGTGACCTTGGTAATTTTTACACCCAGTCACAGCCTGGTCAAACGCGCAGTGTATCTTTTACTTTCAGTTTATTACCAGTTATAAAATGCTACACTCAGTTCCTTTGTAAAGACTGGTAAAAATGATTCCTTATCTGGGCGAGAGCTTAAAATCTCCTCCCATGATTGAAAATGATGACCTATTCTTCTGAGTGTGAAAGTCCAATTTATCTTTGTGTAAAAATAATATTATTCATTAGAAAAAAAACAAACAAACAAAAAACAACAACATAAAATACAAGAAACACGACCAGCGTACTATAAACTCAATGTTTTGATGTGTGAGTAAAACATCCTTTGTGTTACACCCTTGGGGTAATGCGAAACGTAAACTTGTTTTTCAAGATTTGCATACCTTTCTGGATACGTAAAATAAGAGTGAACACCTAGGCTGATTCTTATTTAATGAATAATACGGACCTTAAGACAATAAGTATATACGCACATTTTACATTGCATATTATCTCCGTGCCATTCGAAGCCACTTCATGAATATTTGTTTATTCTTTTCGTTAGTTGTAAGCGATTAAATAGACGAGTACTTAAGAGACATAAACATTAAAATGATATATAGTTAACTAGATGTCTAAACATGGTCTGCGAACATACCATAACAAACAGATATAGTAACAGGTCTTGTTTACCCCAAACTGTTCCGTTTAGCTAAACACTTTCAAGCATGTCAGTCTAAAACAATACTTTTTAAAGAAATCCTAACATATACAGAGTTTTAGGCCCAAGAGCACCAGTCCAATGTCGAGGGCGGTGTAAATACGTCGGCTCTACTGTGTGTGACGTTCGGTTTTTCTGAATCAAAGACGTTGTGTGACAGTTTCTGGTGTGTAATAGCCCTTTTGACGGCAGCCAGACGACGTTTACAGTCAAATGTGGAGGTCAATTGATTGTGTGGTAAGCTTTTGAAGTTGAAATTCTTCGATTCACTCTCTGTATATCAATCACTACTGAAGACCGACGTAAAATGGGGCGTCTTGTACGTTTAATGGCTACCGTCTCTGTGTCAACAGAAACCTGAAGTGGAGCGAAGGGGAGATGTGAACAAAAGAAGAGGCTGTTACTAGATCGACTAGAGCAAACAGTAACACATTGCATGTATTTACATGAGCACTGCCATCAGCTAAGTGTGTAGATTCCTTGTTCACCTTTCCTTCATGAATGGTCACATATCATGTTTCACGAGTGTCCAGGTAATTCAAGGCACACTCACACATGCACTGTCATGTATTTCGGTATATGTACGCCTAAGCTACCACACATAGCAGGTTGAAGATCACCACATCCATGTGACGAATAACTGGATTTTTTCTTCTTCTTTTGCTCTTCAAAAACCGAGAAAAAGAAATGACCTCGAGTATTTGCTCACTAAATTGAAAATCGTATTTTTTAGCGCTTACATTTGTTCTATTTGTTGTTGTTTGAAGTTAAGCACAAAACTACACAATGGGCTATCTGTGCTCTGCCCACCACGGGTATCGAAACCCGGTTTCTAGCGTTGTAAATTCGCAGACATACCGCTGTGCCACTAGGGGGCACATTTGTTCTATTAGTTAACAACTTAAAATAAAGAAGTAATGTTTCAGGTGGACATTTTCTGATAGGTCAAAATTCGAGGTCTCTCTTTGGGACAGCGGTAAGTTGACGGATTTACAACGCTAAACTTATGGGTTCGATTCCCGCGGTGGGCACAGCAGATAGCCCGATGTGGGTTTGCTATGAAAACAAAGAACCAAAAAATTGCGAAATAATGAACAAAGAAGAACCTCTTTAGGTCAGCGGTAAGTTGACGGACTTTATAACGCTAAAATTATGGGTTCGATTCCCCGCGGTGGGCACAGCAGATAGCCCGATGTGGGTTTGCTATAAAAACAAAGAAACTAACGAAACCAAAAATTGAGAAATAATGAACAAAGAAGAACCTCTTTAGGTCAGCCGTAAGTTGACGGACTTATAACGCTAAAATTATGGGTTCGATTCCCCGCGGTGGGCACATCAAATAGCCCGATGTGGGTTTGCTATGAAAACAAAGAAACAAACGAAACCAAAAATTGAGAAATAATGAACAAAGAAGAACCTCTTTGGGTCAGCGGTAAATTGACTGACTTATAACGCTAAAATCCGGGGGACGATTCTCCACTGTGGCCAGAGTGCAGAAAGCCTATTCTGTAGTTTTCAGCTAAGACAAGAACAACCGAAACTACACAAATAGATCAGTTTTTATCGGCCAACTTGAATTTCCCTCTGTGAGCGCTTTCACGAGGGTAATTAGGGGATAGCTATAGTTGGGAGCTGGAAGGGACATTCTTGATGGGCTAATAAGCTTCTTTTTGTCCCTTTAAAATTTTATGAATTTTATGAAATATGAATAGATATAGTTGGCCAAAAAAAGAAAAAAATCTGTCGAAAAACTTACTAAGTTTTTTTTTAAAAGTAGTCAGGATTTACGTATATGAAACAATGGAAAGTGGCTTCATAATATTTCAGAGAAAAACAAACTAAATAAGTGAGTAATAAATGGCTAGAGGTGAAGTTGAGAAATACTTCTAAAGGATAGTAACACCATTAAACCATATTCCGTCGTTTTTGGAAAAAGACTTTCAGACTCGAATGAAGAGTAAACAGACCTTGAGTGGATGTATTTTTCTAGAACTTAACTTATTTTTTAATCCTCCGAACCTAGGACTACAGTTTTATTGTGCTTAGACTTTTAGATTATTTACACGCGAATTACTACGTATTTCTCATGGTTGGTTGTTATCAAGCCAAAAAACAACAACAACATATACAATAGGTCATCTGTACTCTGTCCACTACGGGTATCGAAACCCGATTTTTAGCGTTGCAAGCCTTAGACTTACCGCTGGGGGTCGTGTTTCTCATGTGCTAAGCCTGTAGTAAGTCAATACACTCGAATGCTTATATCCTTAGGATGAAGAAGGTTTTCAACAAAGAAATTGAATTCGTCCACTTGTTTGTTAGTCCATTAGTTTATAGCTGAGCTTTAAAGAGTGACATAATGGGTGACTGGTTGAATCAAACGTTTTGTTCTTTACAGTTAAAGAGTTAACGATATTGCTCGTTTGATATTGAGTTTCAAACTTTTACAGCTTGTGAAGCTTTTGTGATGATAAAAGAATACTTTAGAGCAACCTTGTCCATTATCACCCAATTTATGTAATGTAATAGCGTGTCAACAAAATTGTATCTGCTATATCCAGTGCCCACAAGTATGTTCGCCCAACACCAGGGTCAGCTGAAATACGACAAATATAACAGTTTTATAACTATTAGTATTGAATACTGTATCTTTTAATTCATGCAAGACACCATTTAACATGTAATTTGGGGATCGTCCTTAAAAACGGTGTTTCGAAAGAAAAAATTAAAATTTGTTGACAAAATATGAGCCAAAAGTCAGGTTTGAAGGTTGTATCTAACTCACCATACTTAATGTCTATGTAAATGAGATTTAGTAACTATGTACCCAGCTGTTTTATGAGACAAGAAGACTAAAAGCTATAAATATGTTCAGTTACTACTATATCAAGGTAATGAATATAATCTTTCTTTTATATTTGTTTTTATGAAGCTCATAACAAAGAAGTGGCTTTCATACAGAAGAAATATAGTATGCTGTCAAACTACTGTGGGCATTCTATGGTTGTTACAAAATGCCTTGAAGACGTGTCTTATAAACAAATTTGGGTCGTAATTAAGTTTTTATTTTAAGGAGGAAAAAATCACGCTGAAAGAAAAACAATTTGATTTTGAAGAAGAGGAATAACAATTTTGGAAATATATATTTATTGGGAAAAAGTAATAAATTTTGTACAAAACTTAATATGTCAAAATGTTTGAACGTATGTAATGCTTAATCACTGTTTATCTTTTTTATTTTATTTTTCATTGGTGAATTAGCAGATTGATTAAATCTTCTGTGTTGTAAACTAATTTACAGAAATATTCACGAAAACAGTGCCATCTTTTGGTATTTTTCGTTTTTTTCGAGATTAGAGACATAGATTGTAGAAATTCGTGTGTATTATATAGTTCACTAACTCTATAGCTGTGTGATTTTAAGTGAAACATTATTCAGTTCAACATTTTTTACTTACAATGTGTAATATATTATATCATCAACCAAGTTACTGTCGTACCTAAACACATGTTTATGTTCTTCTTTAGAATTTGCTTTTCCCCATAAACATCTGTTGCTCAAACTGTAGGTTTTTTAATACAAACATATAGTATCGCAATACGAAGTAAACGCCTAGAATAAACAACAGTTAAATAACAAAACAAGAAACCCTTTAATCCAACAATTTTCAAAAGGTAGACTTCTTCGTGGGTTTGGGGGAGACAGCTAGAACTGGCTGTTCATTCTGAGTTCATCCTTCAAAAGGAAGAAGACATACATTTATAAAGCGTTATAGTTATCGGATTACGCGTTTTATGATTTTTCACATGCTTAATATCGGTAGATTGAAATATTTTTCAAAATAACAAAAATATCATGAGAGACTAAGGCAATGTGTGATTCACATTTTATTCCGTAGAGTCTGGAATTACATAGAAATGTACGGTATTCATTATTGTCAAAACTGCACAAGTTCAACCATTTATTAAAGAAGTGAGAATATTGAAAATAAATTAAAATACAAATGAAGCGATCATAATTTGAATATCTTATTACTATCAGAGTACATTTAAGAGATAAATACGACTACAAAGGATATAGAATAACTGAACATCTCGTCGATGTTTTAAAAGTGTTACAAAGTAAAATCTGTATCAACCCAGTCGGGCCTTGAAGAAAGGATTAGGAAGAAAATTGGAAATAGGCAGGGCCTTGTACGCGTGTTTCACATTTCCAATACAGCTCATGGGATCGATGAAGTAGAAGCACACCTTACGTGGCGCCATCCTGTGACGACGCTGCAACTGACAACAGAGATCTTTTGAAGCGTCGCATTCGCTGCTATCCAAACACTCGTCGTCTGTTTAAGATTAAAACAAAATTAATCAATTATTTGATATGTATCTCAACCCACGTTATACAAGGTATATTATACTGAAGTTAAGAAATGTATAAGAATAAGACATTTAAGATAGACATGAGGTCCATTTGTAAGGTTAACAAAGTACTTAATCCATTTTTTTTATAAATATCTTCTTTAATTTTTATGAAATAAGCTTTACTTTTATAACGACTTACCACTTTTAATCAACACATAATGCTTTAAAACTTTTTGTTTTATCCTAATGGTAAATCTTACAGTACATGTTAATTCATTTGATTACGCTAATAAACCAAACTCAGTAGTCAACGAGCTTGAGGTTATATTTCAAAGTGTTTAATTAAATTCTCCTTTATTAACATGATAAGATGCTACACACTTATTGTTTTTCAAAACTTGATATGTACTTACTATATTGCTTTTTTCGCAAGTACAGTTTTGGCAATTGACATGTTCGCCGTTTGGGGTCGCTTGCCAGCTGTGTGCATGCAAGGTTTTCCTGACAGTTTGAATCTTGATGGCAAAACTGTCCCTCTTCTTGTCCGTAAAGGGGTAGACATGTTCCTACTACAAAACGTAATTATGTAAAAGAATCAATGTGGACGTAATCTTCAAGTTACATCAATGTACTTTCAAACCGAGTAAGAGTTTGAAAAAAAGTTTTCTAAGGTTTTTCAAAATGTCACTAGATGTCGCACTTTCTTGAACGCTGAATGCCGATATTGTGCTATTGTCGACATGTCGCGCATATTAGAGTTATGATGTCAATTATTCTTTTTACAGTGATCGGCTCTCTGTGCTATTACTTTCGTATTGGAAAAACATGTTCAATGTCAAGATTCAAGAACATAATTATTATATTTTTTATTATAATATTATAATAATATTATAATATATAATAATATATAATATTATTATAATAATTATTATAATATTTTTTCATAAGCCTTGTCTAGAACAAGGCGAGAAGAAACTGATAAAGTTTAACACTATCAGGTTCATGAAAGAAACATACAAAGTTTCCATACTTAAAATAAAGATAAACAATTATTCTGAAATTTTCATTATATATTTCTATGACATGTTGAAACTAAGAACAGTTTGATTCACGGAGTGCGACATCTAACGGGGAACTAGAGAGTTAAATAAGGGTTTAGTGTAACGATTCAAATAAGCTTTTATTTAAAGCAGATATTATTAATATAACGTTTTAAAGAGAATAAATGAACCAATGCAATATTTAGGGCAATGAATGTTATAAAATATTTCCAAAAATACGGTAATAATGGAAATTACGAAAAAAATGGGGCAAAACCATTTTAAACCTTAAGATTTACAATATGCTTTGAACAATAACGCCTTTTTATGAACTTTATTTTATAGTTTTTCTATCTTTATATTTTGTCAAAAGATTCATTCGAAAAGTTGAAATCTTACGTTTATTTGCTCATGTTTTTTTTTTCCAGTTTGTAATAACGTTGTTATTTTATTGTTATGCAACTTTAGCTATTCATTTACCATCATAAAATTAATCTATAGCTTTTTTCCCATTGAAGCCATTAATTTGTTTTATACTTCAGGCAATATTTCAGGCAATGGAATGCAATATTTTGGTCATAATTATTACTTCCGATACAATTTACTGTTCTATTTGATAAATGATAATTGGATGTCGATATCTGAACTAAACAACTATCTGCGTATACGACTGGTCTCATTATATAAGCCCTAGGCAAGCAGCACATGCCGTGTTTCCATTATCTCTAAAATTGGAAATAATGCAAGATTTATCTTAACAACATTGGTTTTCAAACACGTGCTTTCTGTTGGTATATAAACATATGTCGTTACCAGCATTGAAAATTGGAAAGTAACGAAAGAGATTAAATCACGTTAGAGATAGTTCGTAACTTCCTCTCCCAAATCTGAGTTATGGAAAATTCTCTGAAGGAAATATATGATTTAATCTACGAATAATTAATTCCAAGGAAGAAACATAGCAATTCTGTTACAGATAATTAAAACAAAAACATATTAACATTCAAATAACTTTGTTATAAACATAATAATTGACAAATGTAAACATTATGGACCCAATTATATTACTGGAGGAATAGAAAAACTAGTTTATAGCAAAATCTAAAAATTAGGCAACAGAATTCTGTGAAACAAATGCAAACATTAGGAACCCAATTACGTTATTGGAGAAAAGGAAAAATTAGGTTATAACACAACAAAAACTGAGGCTACGAAATTCTTTGAGACAAACGTAAAGGTTGAGGCTCAACTACAGGAGGAAAATATAAAGGTTAGGCAACAGAATTCTGTGAAACAAATGCAAACAATAGGAACCCAATTACGTTATTGGAGAAATGGAAAAATTAGGTTATAACACAACAAAAACTGAGGCTACGAAATTATTTGAGACAAACGTAAAGGTTAAGGCTCAAGTACAGGAGGAAAATATAAAGGTTAGGCAACAGATTTCTGTGGGACGAACGTAAACATTGAGAACAAATTATATTGTAGGAGGAATGAAAAAAAACAACGTATATCTTTCCTTTTTTGCTTTTATAGATTGATTGAAATACAATAATTGAGTGAGGTGTGCAGATGTTAGAAAATATACGTCATATTTCTTTTTCAATTAAAATTCAGATCTAAAGACTGAGAAATCAAGAAGCTTTATGCATTGTTAAAAATGTCTTTAAAAAAATTAAATTCTGAAATGAACATATATAAAGTTATATAGAATTCCGGGGATTTTCTGAGTTTTCATATAGAATCTGACACTACTACAGTTTGAATTAATTATATAGAAAGCCATTTGTTCTGTGACTTTCAACATAGAACCTAACACAATGGTAGTCTCAAATATTTAAACAAAATGGCAAAGATTACCAATTTTTGTTACTTTGAAAATATAACCTAACACGACGATAGCTTGTAATAGTCATATCAAATTGAATTTAACTGTCATAGTTTGTGATTTGTAACACATGAATTGACACTTTACAATCTTAAATAATTATATAAAATTACATAGGATTCCAATGGTCTTGCGATAAAAATAGAACTTGACATTATTAAAAGAAATGCGTTCACTTGAATGATATTAACAAAAATTCAGCTACTAATATCGAACTGGTGTATTTAAGTGTTTTACACTCACAAAAAAAGAAACATATCATTCTATAGGTATTTGAAGAACTTGTAGCATTCCGCCACAATTTAATTCTTCGTATTGTTAGCCGACCCTGGGCATCTTGTACATAATTGAATAAATAAAGTTGTCTAAACATTTGTTTAACAACAAGTAAAAGCTTGGGATGGTCTATTCTTTCATTAGGGTGTGGGTCTATGAGCCAGACTAGTTTCAGAGAATGCCACTCCTCATCAGTGACACTGGACACTACCACCAATGAAATATCAGATCAAACCAAGCCTTTATAGTAGTGAGGTATCGAAAATCGAACTAGTGTATTTAAGTGTTTTACACTCACAAAAAAGAAGCCTATCATTCTCACAAACACACCCCCCAATGAAAGAATAGACCATCCCAAGCTTTTACTTGTTGTTAAACAACTTTATTTATTCAGCTGCTAATAGTTTTTCGGAATAGCCTGGTGTCAATGAAAATACCTGAATTTGACTATAATGTATGCAACATTAATTTAAACTGCCATTCATCTTTAGAAAAAACACTATAACCATGATTTAGAGCGTTGTAACGCGTGTAATGCTTTTTTAAATTCAATTTCAAAATGACTCGATAACCATGAAATAATCAAATCTGATTCAGCATTAATAATAAATTCATATTAATACATAGCAAACAACTTATATCTTATTTAGTGAAGACATTTCTCAAACTTCATTCATACTTCACTGTGTAACTTACATGGACGTAGATGTTCGTGTACTCATAAGTTATGCAAAGAAACATATAGAGTACAATAGTTTATTTATTCACCAACTATGATGGAAATATTTCGGTGCTTTTAAAATCAATGATGCATATATAATGCATAAAAAAGATGCGAGTAAATTACCAGAAAGACTGATTAAATATTTGAACTTGAATGTTTTTAAGTTCTCACATTGTCTTGTGAAAGAAAATGATCTTATTAGATTTAGTGTCCTACATAGTTAAACTGGAAAACTTTACTTCTAGAGCAACCAAATCCAATTCTAGTTTTTCAGTAGACTAAGAAACCTTTGGCTAAACAAGCATCAGTTAATCCAAAAAATGTGTATTAAATGGCTTAAAGATATGGTTTCACATCAAATATATTATTTTACCACTCATTGATATTATTATTTTTGTTTGTTTGAAGTTAAGCACAAAGCTACACAATGGGCTATCTGTGCTCTGCCCACCACGGATACCGCAGACATACCGCTGTACCACTGGAGGTAATATTATTATTATAAATGCAATATAATACAAATACAATACTAATAAAATACACAGTTATAATTAACTCAAGAGCATTTTTGCTCATCTGGGTTGATAGCATTAATTATTTGCATTAAATTTAATTTAAATTAAGATACCACTAATTCATTTTATTACCTTTAAAATTTTCAAAATTTAAAACTTGATCAAAAATTCTTTTACAGGCACTTTAAATTTATTTATATTATTATATATTTTATCATTAAAGATAAATTATTCAATATGTTTGGTGCTAAT